CTCTCTCTCTCTCTCTCTCTCTCTCTCTCTCTCTCTCTCTCTCTCTCTCTCTCTCTCTCTCTCTCTCTCTCTCTCTCTCTCTCTCTCTCTCTCTCTCTCTTCTCTCTCTCTCCCCCCCTCCGTCCATCCCTCCGTCCCTCCCTCCCTCCCTCTCCATGACTCCCTCCTCACTCCCTCCCTCCGCCTGGAGAGGGAGTGGAAATGGAGTGGAGTGGGAGTGGGAGCCGAGCAGGGGTGGAGTTGCTTGATACAACGAGTTGCTCCAAACTCTCACATGGAATTTACCGGTTACTTGTAATCCTGAATGTGAGTAGCCAGTACTTGTGATCGTACCTGTTACTTGTCATCCTGAATGTCAGCGTGGTCATTGCTTGTGATCTTACCTGTTACTTGTGATCCCATGTGTGAGCATGGTTGTTACTTGTGATCTTTTATGTTTCTTGCGATCCTGAATGTGAGCGCGGTCAAGACTCGTGATCTTACCGGTTACTGGTGATCCCATGTGTGAGCATGGTTGTTATTTGTGATCTTACCTGTTACTTGTGATCTTGTGTGTGAGCGTGATCATTACATGTGATCCTACCTGTCCGCGGCCATTACCTTGTTGGTGCTGCTGAGCCGCTGTTTTGATCGAGCCGGTGCGTCAGCCAAGTGCTGGGACAGATGTCGTCAAAGGAACGTGGGGAGCCCGCTACACCACAGAAGTCCGACAAGGGCGACAAGGTTGGTGACCAAGTGAAGCTGTCTAGCAAGGCCAAGGGAAACCCAAATGCCAAAGCAAGCTGCGGCCAAGACAAAGATGACGGCCAAGGCGAAAGCTAAGGCAAAGAAAGGCTTTGGCAGAAGCTACAGCGAAAGTGAAGGCCAAGGCGAAAGCCAAGGCCAAGAGGAAGGCCAAAGCGAAGGTCAAGGCGACCACCACAGAGAATCCGGACAAGAAAGGCAAAGCGAAGGGCTCTGTGAAGGAGCCGGGCTTGTGCCGCGGATGCTGAGGAGGCCGAGGAGGAGACACTGAAGGAGGAAGACCCAACCTTGGAGCTTCCTGACCAAGGCGAAGATGGCTCGGTCAAGGACAGGGTCAACCAGAGGAAGTTCAACTCCTTACTGAAGAGATGGCCGCTCCTTTCCTTGGCGCAAAGCACGTTGACCGTGTGGCCGGGCAAGCAGGACCGGCAGCCCTTGGTGAACGCTGCCTTCGACCGGCGCCAGAGCGGGCGCTTGGTCTTGAGCTTGGCAAAGCCTGTCTTTGAGTCAGTGCAAAAGACTTACGAGCAAACCGAGAGCACGGACAAGTCTAAGAGCCTGGGCAAGCTGCTGTTCATGAAGAAGTGGAACCTCAGCGCGGACGAGTTCAACCAGGGCCTTGCGAACGATGAGTTTTATGAGGCGAAGGGCGCGAACGGAAAGTCCAAGTATGCTTGGGACCAAGGGGGGCATGCGACTACGAAAGGCAAAGACAGCACTTCGTAGGTAAAGGGCTCTCTTGACGGCACCGCGGAAGACGCCACGATCTTCGCCAACAATGCGGCCAACTGGAAGATTCGGCTGCGCTTCCCAGGCCCCACTGGCCATCCAGGACTGCGAGAAGGCGCTTACCCAGGCACAATGGAGCCAGCAGCAGCTCAATGTTGCGACGGCGGCTTGCGACCGGCTGCACGTGGCTGCGTCAAGTAAATACACGCGCGCGTAAACCGCAACACAATCAAACAATTCATGGCGAGCTCAAGCGAGGCAAGACCAGACCATGTCTCAAGTAATAAACATTGTTCAGAAACCTGTTCCCACTACTCAGTGCTAAGAAAAATGCTTCGACTCAGGAAAGATGCGTTCACGAAACATACCCGAAAAAACACGCTTTCCGGCCCCCCAAAAATTTACTATGACTAGTAAATTAATTTACTAGGGCTAGAAAATTGATTTACTAGGGCGAGTAAATTAATTTACTACCAAATTTACTTTAGTTGGCCTAGTAAAATGAGACTAGTAAATAGAAAATCTTGGAGTAAATGGATGCCATAGTAAATTTACTATTCCCGCAGACTTAGGGCAGGCTGGCCCGAGCAGCGCGCCAGGACTGCATTTCCATACGCTCACGCGGCGGGTCTGATACGCCTGTAGAGCTGGTAGATGTGCAAAAGGCAGCGTTTAGCGCACGCCTGGCGGAGCTTGGGTGCGGACGCACGGTGGACACATGCATCATGGGCAGCGTCTTCAGCAAAACTTGCCCAATCAGAAGAGCACTGCAACAAGGTCAACGACTGCTGTAGAGGCAAGCACCCAACCCCCTCAAATCCACTCATCCATACATCCATCCACGCATCCACCCGAAAACGGCACCACGATATGCCCGGCCAATTGATATCCTCACTGAGTCTTTTCCATTCCCCGACGATACGACTATTTTTGACGCAGTGAGAGAACCGATAGTTTCACATCGGACAACCCTGTCCCTGACTTTCGAAGGCATCAGTCGAAGAAGATGCATGCCTTCCAACTATGCGCGTGTGCGAATTCGATATCAGCATGCCTTGCAAATTGCGTATACCTTGCAGTTGCCAAACGAACAAATCAGCCTGCGTCATAGTCGTTTCAAAACACTGACTCCAACTTTGACTGGCTACGGATATAGCAGGGCCCAGCCTGAATATAACACAGGAATTCGACGCGGGCGCTGAGCCCCACACTGGCTCAAAGGGCCTTTCTCTTCTCACACCTCGTGCACATTCCGTGACGGCACGCTCACAAGTACAACATCTACATATCTCCATTTTCCAGTCCCTTGATATAAATTCTTACACGCCTAAGCAAGGCAGCCCAACTTGGATGGTTGCCAACCTCCGGATGTTATTGCGCGCCATCTTTTTTCGGATCTTGTTCAGCTACTCCAAGTACTCCAAACAGCTGCACCCCCCGCTTGTTTCCCCCCTAAACTTACCGTGTGGGGATGTCTTGAGGTTCTATGGACCGGCTCCAGCGGTGGACCAGAAGACAAAATCGAAAGGTCGGCTTTGGGCAACATTTGGGACCTCTGGACTAAGCAACGCCGTTGCTCTGTCCACGTGTCTTGCTTCTTGATGGTGCTTGTTTTCGCAGCCTGGCAGACTTCACGTTTGCAAAGAGGCCGCAGATTGCCAAAGTCCAAAAGTAATTGGGTGGTATTCATGCGATGACGCTGGAGGCGAAGCTTCTTCAACTAACGCAAGCAGCAGAGCCGTTAGCTCATCAATTGGCGCTGCGGGAGGATCTGGCTTAGTGGTCGACCGGCGGAATATCCTGTCTGCTGCTTATCCTGATGAAATTTCTCCCTCATCGTTTAGCGAATTGTCTGCACTGAGGACAGTCTAAAAGGGATGTCTGGATCTCCACCTTCTGCTGTGTGCGGTACGTTCGCTTCACTCCTTTTGGTGCGAACACTGCCTTTCAAGGCATGATGTGAGCGCTTGTTCTTGTTGCCTTACTGCCAGTTGGGGTTGGTGCATCCTCTTTTTTGGTGATGACCGTGAAGCGCGTACAATTTCTGATCTTGCAGACTCTGCAGAAGGAAACTTGATGCTTGCGTCGTCATCGTCAGAGACATAATGCCTGAGGCCTTTCGCAGCAATCTCTCCATGTTTCTTCAACCTTGCCACGCCTGCAAGATCGACGAGAGCATGTCCTGCGCTTGATACTGTTGTCGGTTCCACGCCAGAAGCTTCATGCGATCTTGTCACACCAGTACTGACGAGTATCGGCGCGGCGCCTTGCTGAGAATGTCGATGCCGGTGCTGGCTGGCAATTGTGATCTTTGTGGCTGCCATAGAGATTGACGGCCTGCATACATCGCTGGGTTGCACGCCAGCCCCCCATTGACCTGGCACATCGGTTGTCGAGGATTGCAAAGGTTGGGCTGCCTCAAGGGCTCATGACCGCCGCCATTAGCTTTGTTGCTCGTAGGCTGTGATTCGTCTTCACCCTGGGAGGTTGCGTGGCATCATTCTCAAAGCCATCGTTGCCATATGACCTGGGCTGGGAGCCTCTCCAGTGCTCTGGAACAACGGCCGTGAATGAGATCCAGTCATCAACGGCTTTCTTGTATCTAAAGCAGCTGACTTTTCCGTCGTACGACGGCGGCTTAGCTGTCATCGATAGCACCGGCGTTTCTTCAGCGCTGCCGATAGGTCGGCCGGCGCTGGTGCAGGCCTCCATGAAGCCTTCTCCATCTGATGACATCTTGTCTGATTCTGTCTGAAAAACGTGCTCCGCTACCACAATTGAGTCGCAAACCGAGAACAACGAATCCCCAAATGGAAGATAACCACTGTGGTAGCAGTCCCTGTGGCTCTGGATCTATTTCAGGCAAGAACCTGATGTCTGATGGATCAATCTTAGTGGAAGTTGTTGGAAAAGGTGTGTTGTTGGCATGGGCACACGTGGAGCTCCCTTTTCTATGGCGGATGCATGAATGCTGTTCTACTAAAGAGACGGGCCATGAGCCACAAGTACATGCGTGAAAAGTGATTGCCAGAAGCACTTGCATCGTCGGCAACATCTCGGCCTGCAACTTTCAAATCCTACTGGATTTGAGTTGAACAACACAAGGTTCTTTAGCGTTCTCAATATCTTGGTTAGAGGCAGTACGGGCGTGCCATTGCGTTTTGCGACGGGGGTATCCAGTCCGCCATGGCGCATGGCACAAGTTCATGCTTTCTGGCTCAAGTTTCCCGAGGACCTAGCGCCAACGTTCCTGAACGTTGGGGCGTCTTCAAGGTAGGGGAACACATCATTCGACACCTCTCGAGCAGGGTCAACATCCCCAGCCCCCGGCATCACCAGAAGCTTTGGTTTAGACTGAGTTTAGGGTGGGTTCAAGGATTGCCTGAAGCAATACCGCCAGCACTTGGAACGCGCGGTCATGCTCATTCGCTGTATTCCGGAGTGCTCCTGACAACACTAGACCCTCTTAGTAAATGAGTGCTTCTTCTTCGCGTCAGCAATGACTAACGCTTTGCGCACTTGCCTTTTTTCGCGATGAGGCGTGCGTGCGTTATCGAGCTGCATCTTTGCAAGGTCAGAAAGGCAAAACACACCTGGGCTTGCAACGCTGGACGGGGAACTTCCAAAGATGACACACAGCTCCAGAGCCGTCAGTCCTTTTCCAACGGGTCCTTGGCTCTGCAGTGACTGGAGTGTGTTCTATTCCATCAACAGACTCATGTAACTTTGCTCTGAGACCCCCACGTTGATGTTCCTCAGTGATGCTTGACAAATGAAAGATCTGTGGTTCAGAACCGAATGCAACACAACACGCACGAAATGGGAAGAATCTGGAACAATCAGAAAACTAGTCACATCTGGCAAAATCTAGTGAAATATAGGAGCTTCAAGCCAAGCGCGGGATGCCCAAGCCAAACTGTTCTAGACTTTGATCCAGGGTACTTTTGTCTCCGGTGTCGCTGGGACTTGATGCGGTCCGCCACAGACATCTGCGCAAATGCATCATGATAATATGATAATGCAAACGCATCTGCTGCGCCGTTCAGAACAACCTAAATGTGGGGTAAATCGCTGGCTCTCTTTGGGCATCTGCATGTGTCGGCTACAAATCGTGCCCCATGCCTCAGCGTCCCCTGCAAAGGCATCCTTCCGCAAGTCCCGGAAGTACTTCCTCCAGCGCTTGGAGCTTTGGAATCACTTAGCCAATCTCATGGCTCATGTCGAGCGACATGATGTTGGGTTCTAGGTGCCGGGCTGATCGGATTTCTCCCGCATCTTTGCTTCCAACTCCTCAAGAAGCTCAACTTGCCTTGCCATTACCAGACTGCGCAAGCCGCATTCAGATGTCCTCAATCTGCTGTTCCCTTACGTCAGCAGAAGCGATCCGATCCTCCTTCATCCTGGTCGAGCGGCTCTGAATGAACTTTGACGCAGTCTTCTCTTTGAGAGAACAATGGCGCATGCCACTAGAGGCTTTCACGGGCAAAGGGAAAGCATCAGCTAGCATCAGCATCCCCCGTCGGGCCAAAGCTTGGCCCACAGTTTGTTTGGAAAAAAAACAGTGTCATGCCTGCAACACGCACTTACTGCTGGCTGGACCCCCACCTCCTCACATCATTTCGCGCTAGACCCGGGCAAGCACAATGTTCAATACCTCTTCAACATTGTGCGTCACGTGTGTCGACAGTGTCTCAGAGTTTGCACTTCCTGCGCTTGGCAGGAAGCCGGCTGACCTGAATGCGTGAGTGCCTCGCCCAGCGCCCTGCCTCTCGTGTTTCTTTGCGTCAACCTCTGTGAGCGGCCGGGTCAACGCTGTCCAGCAAGGTGCCAAGACTCGGGCCCTCATCTGCTGAACTCGCTGCTCCTTTTCCTCATCTGTCAACCGCCTGCGCGCCAGGAAAAGCATTGCACACAAGCTTGCTCCTCCAAATTGGTCTTCTAAACTTGAAGAATTGCGGGCAGAGAGAGCAAACATCTCAGTGAGATTCACAAACCTTGTCTTGCAAACACGTGGACGAGGGCCCTCTTGCCTGCCCAAGCCACGGCTTGCAAGGGCAGCATCCTTCTGCTGCTTCACTCGCTCCTCCTCAGAGCCAGAAACTGCTGATTGCCAACCCCTTGTCAGGCAGTACAAGTTCATGGGCAAGTGTGAGCCTTATGAGTTTCACAAAGCAATTCAACATGAAGCGTGTTCAAAACCCTGCCCGGTGGCAACAATTCCAACCTCTCTGAAGTTGCTGATTTGCTTTATTATCTCGATGTTCCTGCTTCCACTTGGCCCCAAACGTATTCCATTCGCTTGCTCATGACGATCTGGCTAGGCCCCAGCGTCGACAAATCTGGCCTCCAGCTGCAGAATAAACACCAGGCAAGACACAGAAACATGGCGAGCAAACAGGCGCAGGGGCAGCTGCAGTGCCGCTAAGCCTAAGGGCTCAACTCCTCTTTCTCTTCTCGAGCTCTCTTCTGCACCTCACCGAGAACCAGTCTTGCTATATTATTTGCCAGTGTAAGGAACGAGTCACGCGTCAGCGCATTTTCCATTCGTCCTAGGCTTTGGACGGGTGGTGGAGCTGGAGCTGCCTCAGAGCTGGAGCTGCTGCTGGATTTCTTTTTCGCTGCCTGGCACGGTGACAGGGGTGGTTGCACACTGCGCGAACCTTCCACCCAATAGATGCCCTGACGCGTGACTGTAGCAACGTACTTTCTGCTTATGTCAAAATCGAAATCAGTCAAAGTTTGGCCTTTGGCCAAAATCAACCAAACTGACCGCTGTTAACACGTGATCCGTGAAAACCAGTAGCCGACAGCCCATCATGCCCAAGTTGGTAGGTTGGCTGTTTAGTTGGTTGGTTGGCTGTTTGGTTGGTTGGTTGGTTGGCTGGCTGCGCCCGGGTGTGGTGTTGTGCTGTGTTGTGTTGCGGTGTCTTGCGTTGCGTTGTGAGGTGCTGCGTTGCGTTGCGTTGTGTGCCCATTGGCTCGTGCTGTGCAAGTTAACTGCTGCCCAGCCATGATGATGCCCAACCAACCAAGCAAACAAACACAAAAAAAAACACAAGCAAGCAAGCAAGCAAGCAAACAAACAAACAAAACGGAACACAACAAACAACAAACGAAAAAACCAAAACAAACAAACAAACAAACAAACAAACAAACAAACAAACAAACAGCCAGACAAACAAACAAACAAATAAACAAATACACAAACACAACTACAGGAAGTACACACCTAAAGAAACCAAACAAGCAGGCAAGCAGACAAGCAGACAAGCAGACAAGCAGACACACGCCGCAGAGACAGAGACAGGCAGAGAGAAAGAGACACAAACAGACAAACACAGACAAACACAGACAAACACGGAGAGGCAGAGACAGACAGACAAACAGACACAGAGAAAAACAGACCGACACACAGACAGACAGACAGACAAACAAACAAACAGAGAGAGAGAGAGTGAGAGACAGAGAGACGGAGACAAACAAAGATCACAACAGCGAAGAACACCAACTGCAGTCGGGGGCATCAAGAGCGGCGCCGTGCAACGGCTTCTGGGGCAAATCCCTGATTTTTTGGAAGTCCATGCGCAACGTGGCACTGTGGCCTCGTGTGGCATGCAAACTACCAGCTGAACATGCCTGCAGCATTAACAACTCTTAACAACTTCCGAATCTGCTAACTTCCAACAGACAAACGGGCAACTACCGAGCGGCTCCGGTTGGGCAAAAAGTGACAGGCTATTGCGCAGTCCGTTTCGTTTCGTTGATTCTTCTTTAGAGGGTCTGCCTAGTCAAAGAAAAAGAACAAACCTGACGTTATGTACCAACGCATGTTCGTTGTTTGTGGCTTTTCGTAGATGATGGTTGGACAACTCCTGCGCTGCCTTCCCTCTGCTAGTAAATACATGTCGTGCGGGCAGCAACGAGAACAGCGACGGCAAAGCCACAGAGGTTCGCCTTTCCAGCCTTGGCAGCTTTCTTCAGAGCCTCGGATAGCCCGTAGGGCGCAATTGAAGAGTTGGGTTGACGAAGACGACCAACCTGCTCACAAGACCTGACAACATGCCCGCCTTCTTTACAGCCTTCTTCTCTTTCTTTGCCGCTTTCCTTGGATCCGGTTGCAAGATAGACTGAACATGACTGCAAACACTTTCCTGAAAGCCGCTTTAATTCTCAGAAGATGCTGGCAAATCCACCTCTTAGAATGGAGCTATGGTGAATGGCTACCTGGGTCGCATGAACATTACAGAGTTTTATATAAGAAGGCGTTCACCTGCTGGGAAGCAAAGCACCAGCAGATGCTCGAACTTCTTCCGGCAGTCTGGCAACTGACCAGGAAAATCACAGTGCACATCATTTTACATTCTGCATCCACGGCAGGCGTAGTCTTTGCGTGTCGCTCGTGCCATGGTGGATGATTTGTAGAATTCTTGTCTAGCCATGATGCCCAAACGGACGAAGTTGGAATGAAACAACTGCTCTTTTGATCAAAGATGATCAAAGCGTCTTTGCAGCCTTCTCCTGCTTCTTCTTGATCTTGGCCATGATGAGCGGGTTCGCCATCCTGGGCCCGCTGGGGCTTGAGATAGCCCATGCGTGGCCCCAAAAGGCTCACTGAAGATTTGAAGCTTTGCGCAGGTCAGGAAAAGTAAGGGGCCTTGCATCGGCCTGACAGTACCTGCCTGGGTCTTGAGAGCTCTGCACTCCGAATTGCACAGTCTCGCTAGCAAACAGCCTCCACTAGCAGGCTGCTCAGTTGCTTGCTTGCTTGCACACGAGGCCCAAACATGCTCTCTTTCGCTGCTTGTTCTTGCCGTCGGATCTGGAACAGTGGATCTTCTCGCAACTTTCGGACCATGTCCTGCGCCGTGCCAAGCTTAGTGAACAGACGTGAACCAAGTGCCAAACAAAACCGAGCGAAGCGAAGAAACAAATCCTATTTGCCAGGCAATGGACAAGCGCCCCCACCCCACCCAAAGATGGATAGACATGGTACCCACTTGGCTGGAATGTTGTGCGGGTGCTGGGAACAAGGTCCAAGTTGTTCCCAAACAAGATGCGCTACTTCAGGCAGTTGACACACACACACACACACTCTTGACATGTTAGTCCTCTGTAGTCTTTGTGGCGCTGGTGAGGAACAGCGAACCAGCTGTGCTATTCCTGGCCATGTCAGCAAATGCTCGGAGCGGCTGCAACACCTTCATTCAAATTGTGTGCTTGAGGGGTGCTTCTGTTCAAGTTGACCTGGACATCAATTATCGTAAATTCATCGAGCGCTGCGTAGCACATATACAAGACAAACGGGGATGTGCGTTCGTCCCTCTGCCACAGCACAGCTTGGTCTCATCATGGCATCTTGAACAGCCAGTGTGCATTGCGTGAGTTTGTTGTTTCAAATACTGCTGCGACATCCAGCTCGCTACCTGATTTCCGGGTTCAGCACGTAAAAGCAAGATGTTTGCTTTCGATTTGAATTTGTCTCTCCATGCTGCGTCTGGGTAATCCCGATAAACGGGACGAGATTCTGTAGGTTCTTGACATCTTCGATGTCCTTGTCCTGGCTGGGCAGTGTTGGATGCCCTTCTTACCAGTCACGCAGAATGGCAATACATGGCATTGCCCCGTCTCGGATCCCGAGTCACTGAGCCAATGCGACCCACGCCTTCGAGGCAGAGACCGGCATGTTCATTAGCTCGTCGTCATTCGGCTTGCAAGAGGCCGCACTCTGCTCGTACATCCAATCCAGCCTGGCTGAGTGCGTTCTGAGAGAACTGCGCGAGCGCAAACATGTGTTAAGGATGGCGAGCTGAAGCATCCAATGACTGCATAACCGAAGGATACATCTGTCAAAAACAGACAAGTATCAGACTGTATCAAACTGTTCCCTGGCGTGCAGAGATTTGAATCTCGGGGACAGGGGGCATCAGGTGTCGCACGCCTCTCTGCTTGAGTGCTCGCCATGGCTTCGAAGAGGCGCGAGGGGCTCTTGGTTAAATTTGTTTAATGGTGAGCCGCATACACGACTCATGACTTTGCCTTTCCGCGAGTGCTGGGCTTTGGGAGCTGGGTGGCTGGCTCAGGCTGCATATCAATGTTCCTGCTTTTGCTGGCTGCATGTCAAGCGACAATAATCCAACTTCTGGCCATTTGAGAGATGAGCAACAGCTGTCAGACCGGCCGACCCCTTGCACAATTGTCAGAACCAAGTTGCCCTTTGACATAATGCATCCAAGAGCCTCAGCTCCTCATTGCGACAGTGCGGCTTATATCGTTTAATATACGTTGCTTGATCGACGCTTTGCCCACACGTTGGGGGCAAACTATCTGTAGGCCACGCAAGCGGCGCAGACTCTCTTGGAGAGTCTCTCCGCGCAAGGCCCAGAGCGGAAAGTAAGCTTCCGCGCAATTGCAAGGCAAACGTGAATCGTGCAAGAACCACAATAGGCTGCACACCAGTAGGGACCTTGAAGTCTGTGCTGCTCTCTCTCAAACACTTCGACATTGACAAGCAAATGTGTCCCAACTACTGGTCATCCGGTCATCCCATGTACCACTTGTTTAAAAAGCCGATGCAGCAGCTTCTGTGCCGGCTATTGCCAGGCAGTCATACATGCAGGAAGCGGCGGCAAAGCTACAGGGCCACTTGATTCAACCTCACAGGCTGGCGATGTAAATCAAAGCTTTGCAGGAGATTCCATTCCGTGAGAAGATTCATGACCGTTGTCCAATGGCTTCAAGCTTCCGCTGCAGCTAGTAAGTAAGGCTGGCAGAAAGCGCAATACACTTTCTGAATTTCAGGCTGTCAGACATACGCTGTGCGGGACAAAGCTTACACTGTGTGCGACAAAGCTTACGCTGTGTGGGACAAAGCTTGACATGGGCATGGAGGCCTGTGCCTGGGAAATCTGGGAAATGCCAGAAATGCCCTTCAAAATGGCAATGGCGTTTGCGGCTCCAACAAACATACTGCGCAGGTGCCAAGAATCTGTTGCATTCTTGAACGCCCGTCGCAGCGTGAGAAGTAGGTTGCGAGCAGTTTGGGACGTCAATGGACGTGCTCCTTGAAAAATGCTCCTTCAGGTAGACAGCTGAACTTGCATACTGTGAGCTTAGCTGCCGGACCTGCCAACGAAACAATCCAGAGCTGTAGCTATTGCTGGCTCCACCGGACCAAGTGACCTGCACTCTCCTTCTCTGCCGCTCGTCCCCTGCGAGACGAGCTCAGCTCACTGCACAGCAGCTTTGCCCGAATCGCCTGGATCATCGAACACATGTCAATATACTGGTGTGACAATGACAAGGATGGCCGCCACTCTTCCAGACTTTGGCAGGCTCAAATGTCGGAGAGCAAATGCTAAGCCGAAAGGTTCCCAAATGCGTGACCAGAACTGTGCAGGCCGCGCGCCTGCTCACAAAGCTGCTCTCCAAAGCCTCGCCAAGAACTCATTTCGCGTTGTGTTGAAGCGGCTCAAAGCTAAGACAAGGCTGCGCCCGCCTTCCTTGCACTCGGACGGCCTTGGTCTTCTGGCAACATGAGCTGCAGGAAGAGATCCCGCGCCGCCTGGCGAACATCCGACTGGAAAAAGGCCAGGGCTGTCAATTGTATCGGCGGTTCAAGTCTTAGCTTTCACGCTGAAGGCCAGAAAGGAACAGCAATTCTTTGCAAGCTGCCCTGCCTGGCTTTGCATTCTCCTGGGTAATTGCGGCCAGCATTACAATGTCTTGTCGCAGCGCAACTGACCCGATTTTTCTTATCGAAGTGCTACAATTGCAGTGACTTTGTCCAGCAAATGACGGAATTCGATACGTACAGCCGGCAATAGTCGCACGCATTGCGCTCGCGTGACGCTGTGCGTGCGCTGCTGCGATGTTGCAGGCGTTGCTACTCTTGCTACTGACGAATATTGTTGTGGGATTATGTGCATGATTTTACATCAACTCCGCCGCATCCCAAACGCGTATTTTAGCTTAAAGTGTGTCAACATATTAGACATTGGAAAGCAACAACACGATTTGACGCTCTGCCAAAGTAAAAATCATGCCAAACTACAAGTCGGCTCCTTCTCCCCTTTCTGCCAAGCAGCCAGTGGCAGCTTCGAAGGTGCGGTTCTCAGCTCAGATTAGGAGCGAACCAGGGTTTGGGCTGGGCATTGCCTTTTCTTAACTTTAGGACTTCTGGGTCGATCCTTCATGGATGGCAAGTGGCTGCTGTGGAGTATCAGCTTCTCAATCTCTTGATCTTGCTGTCCTTGCCAAAGAGCTTCACCTGTCACAAGGTCCTCGCAAAAAACGCTTCTGTCAAACAAATCAACTCAAAAACTTGCGAAAGATAAAGCAGGCCAAAGAGGCAATTGGCGATCAGCTTGGAAACATATGCCGCGTCAACTCTTGATTCGCTTGATCGGCAATGGCGTGACGTGCAAGTGTTCCATATGACTGGTTTGAGTCAGGCAGTAAACAATCTACAATAAACATAAACTTGTTCGACAGACCACTCGGATTGCTGGACTCGGCTGTCCTGGAAGGTTACTCCAATGCCCCAAATGTCACACCGCTCCTGAGAGACAGGGCCAATGCAAATATTGCGCAAGAAGTTGTTCACCATCTTCGAATCAGGGCTCGCAGCTCTTCCAACAGTGTGTGCCGGGAATGAACGTCTGGTTTCCAGGGCGTTAAACTCTGCTGCTGAGAAACACCTGTCCCAACTCAGACTCTTGCAAAAGGCAGCACAATGATGACCACAAAACTGTTTTGATGGATGTGAGTACACGCACTCCCACCCTTTGGCAAGCAAAGCTGGAAACGGACTGACGGGCGCGTGTCTCAGCCACGTGGCAGTGTAGGCACGCCTGAGCACCTCTGGTGCCAGGTACATCAGGGAGCCGCAGCGAGATGAGAGCTTGTGACCCTTGCTGAATTTGCAGGCCAAGTTGAAGTCTGCCAGCTTCCTCAGCAACATGGGAACCGGGCAAATGTCCGACTCTCTGGAGCCCGGAAAGGCGCCCTTTTCACCTCTCACAAGGGCCCTCTTGAGACCAAGCTTGCTGAAAACAAAGCTAGAACAAAGAAAAGCATAGCATTCATAGCATAGCGCGAATGCCGAATTCAAGGGATACCCTCGAGTCGGCAAAGCTTTCGTGCCGAGCTGCAGGCTGCGTGAACCTTGTTCAACAAGGAGCAAGTTGCCAGGCTTGATGTCACGGTGGACAATCCTGCAAACATCCAGCAACATTACCACACGCCCGCTCCGCAAACGTGCAACATATGCCGCAGCGCCCTCTGAACACACATTCACAAAGCTGCCCACAGACACGGAGATCCAGTTTCTGTCCACTTTCCAGGCTCCTGTGGTGATGCAGGTAGGCCACTGCCGTGAGAATCTGCCACAGGAAGCTGCTCACCTGCGGCCACATCCAAGGCTCGCCATGTGGCCACTCAATCGGCGCCTCTGCGCTGCCAGGCGGACGGTAGGTCTGCCGGTTGCCAACCTCCTGCCAGGTGTTGCCGGAAAGCGAACATCTCTGAGGTGTGACATGGTCTCTGGTTTTGCTCGTGTTGTTGGTGGACTAGCTGTGTGCTGGGGTTGTTGCGTCATTGCCAGCCATTCTGATGAAATATCATGTTGAGTTTGCCACAAGGATCCGTCAACATATTTTATGTTGCAACAGTTTTCTTCGGAAGCTAAAGGGTCTTATTCATTTGGAAACTAAATTAAACAGTATGATTCGGAAACGAAAAGTTTTACTCGGAAGTTCAAAGCTAATTCAGAAACTGACACGCACTGATTTGTATTTCGGAAACCAAAATGGTCTGATTCGGAGACTACAAAGGCCTGATTCAGAAGCTTCCCAAGGCGGCATTTTGTGTTGTGTGGCCGGAAGCTTGACCCGACCCACCCCGCTGGTTCCTGAATTGCACAGTAGTTTCTGAATCGGGCCTGGATAGTTGCCGAATCATAATTCTTGAAGCGGGCCGCTTGTGCCAGACTCGTATTTGGTGAATAGTTCCTGACTCGTAGTTGGTGAATCGGGCTTGTTTGCTTTCGGAAGATGAGTTCAAACAATGTTTGGTCATTATTTTTGTTTGTGCCATCACGCAGGTTCACCTCGGCTTCCTGGGTGCCAGGTTTCCTTCGGCTTCCTTCTCGCGCTCCTTGCGAAATCTGCTGGCAATCCATTGATGCAAATCCCCTCCGAGACAAAGATCCAGAACGAGGCAAAGACCCGTCCGGCACTTCACCGTCTCCTTAGTGCAGGCCTCCGAAGGGCCAAAGAAAAACGCGCCTCATCTTTAGTCTATTACTTGTTTGTCAAAGAAGGCCGAAAGGCAACAATTGGAACGCTTGAATCGTTGAAGGGACTCTCGTTTGTCGCACAGGCAGCTGTCCCCCATTGCCCAAATTCGATGCATCTGGCCAAGGCACGTGAAGCCGCACGATGTGAGGATGGCTGAGGCACTTCGTAATTTGCACCTCCAGGTCCTGAGTGACCGAGGCCCAGTTGGGCGTGTGCACATGGAAAACACGAACTATGCATGTTTCGTGTGTGTGTTCACATATATATACATGTTAACCCCCCCCCCAAACACGCAGAATTCACTGGTACGTGTATGTATATATATATATATATGCTATCCCCCCCAAAGATCGACCATTTTCTGTGTTTTGAGAAAGATGCGGCGCATTACTGCAAGAAACAGATGTGCATATGCTGGGGTCGACATTCAAGTGCAGTGTTGTTGAGGACGGTTGCAAAATTGCGCACCTGCCAGGGCTGCAACACTGCAAGGCTTTGCAAAACTGCAGCCCCTGGCAACCTGAAGTTTCAAAACTTCAAGAGTTTCCAAGACACTGCCCAAGCAAAGCTGCCAAACTACAGACCTGGCAAAGCAAGTCTGCTAATCTGCAGGCACTGCAGGCCTTGGTTGCAAAACAGACTTGGCAGGGCTTCAGCTCCAACACTGCAAGGCTTTGCAAAACTGCAACCCCTACCAACCTGCCAAAGCACTGCGCAAGCAAAGGTGCCAAACTACAGACCTGGCAAGGTTGCAAAATTGCCAACCTGCAAGGTTTCAACACTGCAGGGCCAGCTCCAACACTGCAAGACTTTCCAAGCAAGTCTGCTAAACTGCAGGGCCCTGGCAAGGTTGCAAAATTGCCAACCTGCAAGGGCTCCAACACTGCAGGGTTGCAAAACTACAGCCCTTGCCAACCTTGCCAACCTGCCAAAGTTTCAACACTGCAGGCTTCCCACTTGCTGCAAGGTCTGCCAAACTACAAATAAGGCTGCAAAATCCAAACTGCAAGGCTCCACCACTGCAGGCACACCCAACTGCAAGGCTTTTCAAGCCTGCCAAGCAGTCTGCTAAACTGCAGAGCAAGGTTGCAAACTACAACCTCTTGCTAACTCAACACTGCAAGACTTCCCAAGCAAGGCTGCCAAACTACAGACCTGAAGGTTGCAAAATTGCCAATCCAATTTGCAACCAACTGCGCCAACACTGAACTACAGACAAGCGAGTTCAAACAGAAGTTCCAACACAGGCCTGTTTGCAAAACAAACTTGGGAGCTCTGTCTGCCAAAGCTCCCACACTGCAAGGAAGGCTTGAAACTTGGTTGCTGGCCCAGCGCAACATTCCACAATTTCCAGCAAGGCTGCCAATCTGCAGGGCAAGGCTGCAAAAAACTGCAACCTGCCAACCTGCCAAGTTCCAATACCCTGGCAAGGGTTCTTGCCACCTGCTACAAGACTTCCACCACCAAACTGGCACTTCCAGCACACTGCCCAAGCAAGCTGCCAAACTGGGTTCAAGCTCAAAACTGCAACCCGCTTGGCAAGAGTTGAACACTAAGGCCACTGCAAGACTTGAGCGCCTCACCTGCCAAAGTTTCAACACTGCAGGCTTCCCTGCTGCCCTGGCAAGGCTGCCAAACTACAGGCAAGCAAGGCATTTCCAACAAGAGTTCCAACACTGCAGGCCTTGGTTGCAATACAGACTTGGCAGGGCTGCAAAACTGCAGCTCTGTACGCCAAAGCTCCAACACTGCAAGGAAGATGCTCAGGGGCGAAGGGCAAGAAACCCATGAAGCTGCAAAACCTCGAAGAAATCAAAAAAATCAATGAACTCAAAAAAACAACAAAATAAAAAATCAGGGTCCTGGGAGAGAATGCCCAGGTCAGAATCTGGAAAAGTGACAAACCTTGAGAAAATCAAAAAAAACAAAAAAAAACAAGGCCTTGAGAGAGATAGTCACTGGGTCTGGGCAATCTGTTCCAGGACCTTGATTTTTTTGATTTTTTGATTTTTTTGATTTCTTCGGGTTTTTTCAACATGTTCATCCTGTGCAGCCAAAAGGCAGATGCAAGATGAAGTTGGGAAGCCAGAAGCCCGAGACCTTGCAGATTCTGGGATGTGTCACCAGAGATAAAACACAGAAAATGGTCGATCTTTGGGGGGGGTACCATATATATATATATATATATCATTGCGATGACGCAAAAGACCAGTCTTCTTGTCCAGTGTTCGGAAAGCAAGGCCCGGTGTGGATGCACATATGCTGAGTCTCAGGGGCTTCGAACCCGAATCACCCAGAACTGCATCCAAGCAGCGCCGTAGTGCGGCATCAACTTCGCAGCATATCTTTGGTTGGTGCCCTTTCGCACCTGGGCGTTGACCGGCTTCGTGAACACGGAGCTGATGTTGCAGTCTCAACAGCAAGCTGGATTCGAATTTCAGATCATATCGGAGAAGCAGTTGGTCTGGCTGCAAGAACACCCTGACTTTCATGGATGACAGCAGGCTTCCAAGGAGGGTCCAGCAATACTTGTCTGCAAGAATGCTACGCATTTATGCATATGTCTTGTTTGCTTGCTTGCCTGCCTGTTTGCCTGCCTGCTTTTATCTCTGTGATGTGTAATCGAAGTGTATCACGAACAGGAATAAGCAAGGACCTTGACTGCAGTATGAACATTTGGCAGGCATCAAACGTGACTTTCATGGGCACAGGCTGAGACGTCAGACTGAATCTATCGGTAAACCGCCTCTCTCACGAGGGCCCAGCGGCCAGCTGCACCGTGCCAAACCTAGCGACCGCTTCCCACAGCTTTCAAGGCAGGAAATGATTTCACATGATTTCACTCGTGGGACCTGGGAAACGAACGGCAAGCAACTCCCATCAATTGCCGATATCTGCTTGGGCCCTGACTTCCCCTCTCCCAGCTTTCTGAGGAGGAGATAACGATCCTCCACCGCCATGACATGGTTCGGCACGGTCTCCTCGTTCCTGGCCAAAACCTTGCCGAGCCTCGTGTCAGGATCTAAAAAACAACTAAGTTCCACCTCCCTACCACTTGCTCGAAAACCAGCAGGCAGCCTCCCTGGTGTACTGTCCTCCAGCCTGTCATCATTGATGCCACCTGCACCAAAATCACTCTGAACCTTTGAAGTCCCGAAATATCTCGTTTTCTCAGCCCGTCTCTCTCGGGGCCCGGCAGAAGGACTCAGCAAGTCCACGGAGCTCAAAGAGCCTCAAGTCGGACCCCGACCCCAAACCTAAATAAACCGAACGCCCGAAACCCGACTGCACCTTTTGACATCCACTCCTCAACCGGCGGTGTCTGAGTCGAGCAGAGCTTGCCGACCTTTTGAGCAGGACTTTGGCAGGCGCAATGCTTGCCAAAGGCCTTGCTTAGTTGTTGGAAGAATCTCTTGGACTCGCGATGCTAATTGCAGGCTTGCACTCTGGCATACATTGCGTCCATGCACTTGCAACTCATGCAGGAGCAGCTACCATCACCAGGCACGTGGAGCAAGGAGCAGTCGCAACGACGCGCAGCTGATGAATGGATCTTACAGGAACATCTGAAAAGAAGATAAACCTTCAAAATGGATGGTGTCCCTTTGAACTTCTTATCAAACAACCCCAAGAACGAGTAGCCTCAAAGCAAGACACATCCAACATCCACTTCCCTTGAGCCCAGCACAGGCAGTGGATTGGGTGCTGATGCTGATGGGCCTGCTCTTCAAGCGGCTATCCTCAGTGTTGAGCTTCTTTGGAGAGCAAAGTGCACTATCCGTACCCGCTAGCTTGTTCAGACATGAACAGTTGCCTCAGTGGAACAGGTAGCCCTGGGTGCAACTGAAATGCGGAGGTCTTGGCCCTGTCTGCCGTTATGCCAAGGCACAGTCAGGCTCGGCTTCTTGCTGTTCTGAGCAGGCGGGCAATCCAAGGTACAGGGGAACAGCAGGACGAGTGAACCAATCTGTTGAAAACAGCATAGGTCAGCTTAGCAGTGGGTGACTTTCGATTGCACCTCTGGCGACCTGGGCCGAAGTATGTCGAGCGAAGATGCGCAAAGTCAAGGACGATCAACCTGAAGCCAGTTCGAAAGCAAAACGACAACCTCTAGGGGCCTAAAACAGCCAGTTTTGCGGCTTGATTCATACTGCGGCCTAAAGGCCTCTGACATCATCCTCCCAGTGGTTGAAACTCCAACAAAATAGACTCCAAAAATATGGTGTTTCTTATCTTGGGCAACGGTCAAAGTGTTGAGACAATTGAGACAGCTGCAAAGTTTCAAAGGGGGCAAACCAGAAGCCTATCAAAGCTGCGCGTCCAAGTGTCCAAGTAGCCATTGGGGACCGCCGCTTGGTAGCATCCTGCACGATGCTGGAAGCAAAGCGATCCAACATTTTCAGATTCCAGAGCTTGTCCCTCTTCCACCTTTAACGTTGCCTGCAACACTCCTCAACAAGCCTGATAGTAAACCTGATTGCTGTTCAGGGCGAAAAAAGAACAGCTGCTGTGCAGGAAAAGGGTGTCAAGCCCCAAGCAGCTGATATGCACACACACACACACACACACTGCACCACATGTCCGATTTTGCCATGATGCCGAAATCGCGGAAGGTTAAAAAGTGGAAGGAGTTCTACACAAACACAACATTTGGAAGGTGAACTGAGCACATGATCTTGCTCCCTCACATGTCGGAGAGCTTTTCAGATATTTTTAAACACAAAGAATGACTCGAATGACTCAAATGACTGGAACGACTCGAATGCGTATCGAGATGACGTCACCGTGATGAGTCCTCTTCGAGACCTCATTGCGAGGCCTTCCAGGCGCCGTCCATGCAACCCATGCGACCAGTGCGGCCCATGAAGCTCGTGCCTGTGTGCTCAACGCTGCTCATTATATATACATAGATATATATATATATATATGCATGTGTATATATATATATATATATACCAGTCACTTCTGGGGTGATGCCTCTTCCTTTCTTTAGGGTACATACATACATGCATACATTACATACAGAAATGTGTATATATATATATATAGAACACACTCGATAAGGCTACTGGATATCCCCAGCCCAAACTTCAGAGTAACCTATATATATATATACAATATGTGTTCCATCACATATTTACACATATATATATATATATGTACACTCTGGCCTTCAGATTGAGTGAAATCAAAGTGCTGCATTGATCTGCCCATCTGATTGCCCTCTCTTGTGCCCACGCAGTCCGACAGGCTTGAGCAAACACAATGGCAAACACGCATTCCTGCGATGTCTTTTAAGGTGCCTGTCATGTTCTGGCATTTGGCTCAGGCTTTAGGCAGCATTTTTGATGAGAGCTACACACAGCATCCTAAACAAGGCCTGCTGCAAGCTTCTTCGACCCATACCAGCCGACAATTGATTTTTTTGTCATTTCGGATCTTCCGCAACAGTAGCCTGCAGCTCTGGGCTCAAGACGGATTGCCTTAAAAACGCCTCGCCGTGTGCCCGTTCGGCCCACTGCTCGTATCCCGTCAAACGCAAACCCGGCCCTAAGGCCCTTGTGCTCCACGGCGGAGGCGGCGTTTCGGTGGGCCTCTCTACAGGAAGAATTGCAGAGGCCCAGGCTGACCTCAACGCAACGCATGGGAAGAGGACCAGGTGAAAGCCAAAACATTGCTGCCCGAAACCAACGGCTCTCTAGTCCTGCAATTGCGGTGAGGTTTGCATTCACGTCCCATGTGCACGGCGGCACTTGTTGGGTCCCCGGTTCTTCCCGACGCCGAAAGGACACAAAGAACGTCAAAGAACCTGCCTGAAACACCCAACCACACAGCCGGGTCCGGGAAAGTGCCAAGCTCGCACGCGGAAAGTGTGTTAAAAAAAGACTCGTTCGATGCTCCAACAGCGTCCATTTTCAGCAAGGCGCAGAAACGCCTGACTTCTCGGAACGGGTCAGCAAAAGTGTCCTGGTTCTGCATCTTTTCGGTGAACAAGTTCTATGGCTCAAACTGTCCGACAAGCTCCGACGCTGCAAAGACGCAAGGGGTTGTGCCCTGAAACACGAGTTTGATTGGGAGGGCCACCTTGCCCTGACTAAGGTTGCTTGTTGTTTCCACACACACCCTCTCTCAAATGTTCGACGAAATCCAAGGCTTCCATCGACTGGTGCGCTTTCAAGGTGTGCAGCGCAACTGGCAAGTGCCTTCAAGTTTCCTGGCATAGATTAGGCCCTTGCTTCTCAGATTGAATGCTTTCTAAACCTCAAGCTTCTTGTGCGCAAAGTAATGTTGACAACAAAAGTGTGAGGCAAGGCGGGCATGCTGACAATTGGACACGTGCTACCAACTTCCAAATACATGGCCAAAGAACTAAATTCAAATCTGATTTGAAGGAAAACACAAGCACGCACACACACACACAAAGCAAATACCTGCCCACGTATGACTTGAATGTCAGAGAACCCTTGCCATGTGCGGTTGGTTTACTTGGCACCCGTCTCAGTCGCGCTGCGTCGGCAGACGCCCGTGTCGGCTCGGCGCCGAATGCACAAATAAAGAGCGCTGGGTGATGCCTTCAATCCATACCCGGCCATCATTCCACACAGTCAGGCTGAAAATTCCCCTCAACACGGCAGAACAATGAACTTGGAGACCCAAGAAGAATTGTGAGCATGTGAATGGAAAATGCTCTCTACATGCGATGAACATCGTATTGGTCCTGTTTGCTTTGGAGGGCCAACTGTCTAATGACGAAAGGGTCAAGGCGAGGATTGGGCATTTCGATTGAAAGCGGCACGAAGCTTCACTCTCCGAAACCTTCTGAAAAAATTAGGCACGACAGACTTGCCTGACATGCACAGCCAGAAAATAAGTTATCCACGAACAAAATCGATCTTGGCTAGTTCCGAAGCTTGCCATTGTGCTTCTGTTGGTCGAAATCTGAGGCCTGGGGATGTCGAAAATGCAGCAGTAGTACCCGGCGAAAAGCGAAAGTCTCACAGAAGCATCTGGAATGTCTCCGGAACCCTCAACCGGGAGAAATGGCTCAGTCCTTCTTGCCAACGACCTGGCAAACTGCGTTGCGTGCAAGGGGCACAAGGCGCACCATGTGGGACATCACACACCGCAGCGCAGACCATGCCAACGGAAAGCCGCTCTGATTGTATGAGCATGGAAGCTGTCTCCTTTCATCTCCAAATGGTATCGTATTCTCTTGAATCAACTCATCTCTCCCAATGCTGAAAATTTGCACCAACCTTGTTTGCCTGCATCGGTTGCTTCGTGCGAGCGGGCTCGAGCCAAAGCCAAGCACTGCCACACAGGGCCCACAGCTTGCATGCCACTGCCCACAAGCCTTGGTGAAGGAGACGTACTTGCTCGCGTTGGACACCAAAGTCACACCCAGATTGGCGATCTTCCTTAGTGTGCTGCCGAACACATGGTGATGTACCATTGCGTGCTGTTTTGCTTCATCATGCCGTCGCGCTACATCTGCACGAACAGCGTATAACAGGCGCTACGTTTGGGGGTCACATGTTTCTGGACCGGTCTTTGATTGACCCATGCAAACAGCAAACTATTTGCGGCCGTTTACCAAAAAAGCGAACAGTTGAAGAACAAACCAAACAGCAGTCAAGATTTGATGTTGATTGAACAGTTCCTGTGCGTCACAAGATCCAGCAGCTTTCGTCTTCACTCCTAAATTCATAATCGTTATTTCGGATGGCAGCTCAACATACACCAGCGCGCTCGGTTTGCTCAGGCCCTTGCTGGGGCGATCGGCCCACAATGCGATTCTGCGCGCGGTACTCCTGGCTCTCAAGACCCAGTGACCCAAGCAACCGAATGGTCTGAAAGTGAGGGTATTTGGTTTTACAGTGTTGTCATGCTGTCTTCACAGGAGCCAAACCAACCCTCCCATGGGTTTTGTGCAAATGGTCCAGTCACACTCCCACTCGACCGCTTGCAAACATTGCATCTGCTTTAACAGTGCCTTGGGGCTGCGAGTGTGGCGGCGCCCCGATTTAACCGGGGCCCCGCAAAGTGAATTCGCCGTCTGATCGGAGAATGTACAGCTCACATGGATTCACATGGATTCACATGGAGTCCCACATGACTTCCGATCAGCAGGAAGCGCAGGAGTCAAAAGCCCCTCCGGCTCAGTCAGCCAATTTGGTCACAGCCTATCCCCACAGGACAGGCTTTCGGACAAGGATGGCACCGACCTCTCTGCGATGTCGAAAGGCACAAAAAAGGTTCCATGAACTTTCGACTCGCGATTGAACAAACGCATGTGTGCACTTGCATATCCCCGTCAATGCCACTGCCACACCTCAAAGATCATGGGCCCATCCATGCCCGAAATGAGAGGCGCATTTTGCGCATGAAGGTCATGTCCAACAATCAGTTCTGCTGCAAAGAGCAAAGTTGTCGCTTTCTGCTCTCATCTTTGGAGCAAACCCTACGGCACATCATTGCAGCTGAAGGATCTGCACTCAACTTTCTGAATTGCAACTATATTAATGTAGTTTGGTGTATCCCAAAGCACTGAAGCACAAATTCCTGCACAGTGGTTCACACCACCTTGCGTTGATCCCAGCTGCGTTGCAGTTTAAGGCACTCAGATCCGCGCACTAAAAGTGTGCGGAGCTTCTCCCTGCATAGCCGCCGTACCTTTCAACGCTCAGACAGGGCAACACTCAAACAAGCCACAAAAGAGACTGAAAGACGTGAGCTTGTCAAAGCCGGCAACACCCCAGGCCAAGTTTCAACACAACCCTCCCAGTGCCTAACCTGAATCACTTGCCTGCTCCACTTGGGTTGCGGGCACCTCTCGCCCTGAGCTCCTGACATGGCTCTTCGGTCCATGGCCCCTTCATGTTCTCTCCGGGGCACGATCGTCTGGGCATGTCGAAGCCCATGTCGCGGGTGGCTCGCCGGCCTGCAAAGTCACAAGCGGCGGCATGAGGCCAAGGCCCGGCTGTGATGCTTGCAGCATTTGTCTCACTTTGTGGCAAGCAAGATGCAAACCATGAACGAAGTGTGCGAGGTTCAACTGCCAAGTCACCACTGCCTTCTATCCATCAAAACATTGACGCACGTGCTGTTCAAGTTTGTGTGACTGGATTGCTTGGCCTTGCTGTCCGAAAGCCATGTGATGCTGGGACTCCAGGCTGTTGCTTTGCAAGCTAAGTCTCCATTGTGAGACGCAGCTCCCCGGACACCGTGACCGTTCGGCTCACAGAGGCCAGGATGCCCGGGGCTCTTGCCGGCAATCGAGGATGCTGCTTCAAGCACGGGGAAAGCAGTCACCAGCCTCCCTTGTGCATGCATAGCCGAAGTGGGGGTGGGTCAACTTATAAAGCTGCCTCAGGCCAAGCACCAGGGCGGCGGAGACTGCCTTCGATGCTAGTGGTTGTGCTGGGGCAGCGCATAGCCAAGACATGCCATTTGTTCATGTGATGCCATTCAGCTGCTCGAAATCTGTCTCCGTGGGATGCTGGCTGCGGACCGCCACAATGATATCGTCGGAAGCCGTGCGTCCAGCGTCTGCAAGTTACTGGAGTTGTCCATGGCGCTGTACATCCCTGTGAACCACAGTGGCTTCCTTGATGGCACCATGTCAAAGGTGTCCCTCTGTCCACATGCACTGCGTGGCGACGAAGCAGCTATCGGGGTTGGTGGGACAGGGCGCAGGTCTGGTTGCCTGTCACGATGGCGCTCATGTTCTGGAGTAGTTCCATGTACTTCCACTCCGCTCCGTCAGCCGGGAGTTGTGGGGAGCAGTCAAAGCTGCTGGAATTCAGGTAATATGTGGGTCAGCAGGATTCATGCGCGGTGCTCCCCGTCTCCGGCTTCATGCACCTCAAAGACAGCTCACCCATTTCCA